AACATTAGAAAGATTTTAGAGTCCCATGAAAATAAGTGGATACAACGTCTAAAAACACAATACCCAGCCGGACTAAATCATAAATTTAACAATATATAATAGTAACAATATATAACTCAACAAATCAAAACCTACCCACATTTCTCACCCACACAAGACAGACATACTTACGGAGGAATGGAGGCCTCACACTTATACACTCACCCCACACGATATACACACGTACACACACCATACTCACTCACTCCCTAATGAGCCAAATGATAACACACACCTACAGCAATACACACGCTTACACATATCATACTCACTCACTCCCTAAGAACCAAATAACACAGACACAAACACTAAACAGAGACACATCCCCTCACCAGGTCCAATAAAACTGTCAAACTGACCAGAGAATTCAGGATAAAATGTATCTATCCAGTTCTTATCTCAAATAACAACTTAAAAGAGACTGTTTGACCAACACAAGGAATGTTAAAAGATTCATGTGAAAAAGATAAAAAAAATAAAAAACAAATGAAAACTACAGACAAAAGTTCATTTTCTCCAACAAAAGACATTCATTTCTGTAGTTCACTGCCAACAGCAAGCAGAAATATTTCTCCTCCCAATGTTGGCCATTTCGGTCGAAACTAGTCGAGGAATCTAAATGGAATAATAATAATAAAAAAACGAAAGAATATTAATCTACAACCCAGTGTGTCTAATGATTTTAATTTTTTAATTTTTTATTTTTATTATTATATCATATATATATATATATATATATATATATATATATATATATATATATATATATATATATATATATATATATATATATATATATATATATATATATATATATATATATATTAAAAACCTTAGGCACTTCTGAAGTGGGTTTAGGGGTTGACAAGCTTATTAGCGCTAGATGAATTATGAGTAGTGAGTTCTGATCCTCACCTGGTGCTCCAAACATACGTCCTTGTGTTAAATCTAAACTACGCTAAGAAAATCGTTATATAAACGCCCTTCTGATAGGCAAAGAACTAGTGAGTATTCTGAGTCCTCGCGAGAATACAGAGTCCACGTTCGGAGAATGCTCCGCGGACACACACCTACTGACTGGCGGTGATAGACGAAGTACGCTGGCGCATAAGAGGTAATGTTACGTATAAGAGATTCAGTGTAATTTTCTCATTATTAATGTCAGTAACATTACAGTATTCTGTCTAAGGGACTTTGGTTGTGATTTACAAATGGTTACGATAATACACCCGTCTATCTCTTAGCTAAAATAGTTGCGTCCAGCGGTCGGTATCCGAGTCCCCATAAAATGACTGCTATAATAACCTGGTAATCCCTTCGACTTTATCTAACGGAATCGTCCTAGTGTCATTTTGCTTTATAATGTACTAAACAAAACCTCTAATTAACGCTAATATTGCAGCTATCTAATGAGTTATTTTATTAATATTTAATCTTAGGCTCTCATTTGGTTCAAGTATATTTCTTAGTTTTTAAGAGTGAGAGGAATACTAATTTAAAATATTCCAATATATATTTCCAATCAGGAGAGTATGCGTTGGGATGAGCCTTTCGTTTCCGATCGAATTGCTCCTTTTTTTTTATCATTACACCCGTAGCAGGGGCGCTTCGATGTAGTGTAATGGCTCAAAAACTTGTCGGTCTAGACAAATTACACCGGAAAAGAGAATTCGATCCTCACTGGGTAGACTATGCTTTCGGCCTTGTTCCACATCTAAGTTACGCTTAGAAAATTGCCATGTAACTACAAGGAAGGGGATAGAGCCACTAAGGCGCAGACGGTTAATTAAAGCTAGTGTGAAAGAATATGAGAAAACATTATTAAGGAGCGAGAACAATAAAAGAACAGAATTTTAGGGAACAGAAGTTAACGATTGACATTGAATTTAAAATTTTTGGCATTAAAATTATTAATTTTTGGATAACAAGAAGCAGGAAAAAAGTTCCACAAGTGAGAAGTGCAAGAGAAGAAACTGTTACCATAGAACTTACGGTTACATCTAAGCATTCCAACTGTAAATGGACGATATATTGCCGTCAATCTAGTAATGCGTTTGAATTCCTAGTCTACGTACCATCGTACTACGTTCATCAAAAAATTTACCATGAAAATATTTATAGAAGATTCATAGGGAAGCTACGTTACGGCAGTGAGAAACAGAATGACGGCGAGATGCCAGGTCAGCGACAATAACATTGCAGATTCTTCTTTGAATTTTATCAAGGGTCTCTAAATATATAACAGGAACACCAGACCATATATGGTTGTAATATTGTAAGCAAAGGGCAGAAATAAATTATCTGTTAGTAAAAACAATTATCTCGAAACTTCCTTTAACTCAGTTTTTTTTTTCTGTCTAACGGCATATATTATTTTTGTAAATATATAATGTTGACAAACGATCTTTTGCATGAATTTGGCGATAGATAACAAAAAGGGCCGGTCCTTCTTTATATTATAGATAAGGCATTTTGCTGGGTTTTTTTTTCGCTAAATATACCCAGAGAGTAAATCATCTAATAGGCCTTGATGCCCGTTTAATTAACTGCAAATGATTTTTCACTCTTCTGATAATTTCACTTTCGGCATCTTTTCGTCGTAAAAAGAAAGAAAAGTTAATCTTTAACATCAAAACAATGATGCTTTATAGCAGTTTAATGACCCGAGAGACTTTTTTCCCATCAGTCTTTCATGTGTAAGCACGGTGGAGTAATGGATAGCGGCTTGGATTGAGGAATAGGAGAACCAAGTTCGAATTTCAGTCGAATCCATTGCATTAACTTCCGTGCTAAAACTCTGGGGAAAGGTATGAATCCTCTTCTTCTCCTCCAGCTGTGGGTAGATAGCATGACAGACTGGGTTCTATATGCTTGGATGACAACTGCCCTAGGAGAAAGACAACTCTGTAGTCAAAACCAGCGGATGGTCGTTTGGGGACCTTGTGGCACGTAGTGCACCAGGTCTCTGTATTCAGCCCTTCAAAAAATGTGGATGGTTCTGCACAAAACCTTCACTACGATAATCAAATCTGCACAAAACCTTCACTAAATCAAATCTCATGCTGGTGTCGGGCTGTCGGTTCCTAGAAAATAAGCTGCTTGACCCTCACACGTCGAATTCGACGTATGAAGGTAAAGCAGCTCAGTTCCTAGCAGTTTCAAGCAGCTTCTACAAATTTTTTCATTTCTGGACATAAATTATATAAAAACTGTTCAAATGTTCTAATAATTGGATCACATTCAGCTATTTCTTTAGCCATTATCAGGACGTTATGGTCGAGTTCATAGTTGATAGTATTGAGTGTTGGCTTTTTCTTTTTTATCAATCCTAGTATATATATATTTGCTGTTTTTTACATCCTGATGAATCAGTTATCGTCGTATTTTAGACAAGTATGTTGTAGGTTACCGTGCGTGTTTAAATAGGCCCTAATTGAGCTATGGTCTGAAAGATGTAATGTGAGCCTTCTTGATAAGCATATAGTGGTATGTTCTATATAATGAATTAGCGGACAAGCGTATTAGAACAATTGCTATGAAAAAGATTTATTTAAAATGTACATCTATGGCGGTGTGAAAGTGAGATGCCTTTATAGACAAAAATTCGCCAATTAACAAAAGGAATGAACTTAAAAATTTTATTAGGAGCACGAAAACACTGTGTCGTTTTTCGACTTGTCTTCCAATGAAGGCTAGTTCATTAAACATTGATTCAGTAATACATTTATTTGAAATAGTTTTATTTTAAGAATTTTTTTAACCATAGTATTCTTTACTATTTTTCTTTACTTGATCCGATATCACTTCTCTGATTCATACATTTGACTAGATCTTTCACTTGACGCAATGACATAACTACTTTATTTGATCCTGGATATTTTCTTTACTCGATCCAATATCTTCACTTGATGCAGCATATTTTTGTTACTTCAATTATTTCACTACTTGATCTTTATTCAATGCCATTTCATTCTTTCACGAGGCAGAATTTACTTCAGTTGTATCTTTCTTTTAATTGATCTTGTATATTTTCTCTACTTGATCCAATGTATCTCTATCATGATTTTATTGCACACAATTCAATGTTAACGTTACATGAAAAATTCAAATGAACCAGTAGTATCCATATATCGTTATTTATAAATGCTGTATTCATAAATCTATTTCAGCTAAAATTGTCATCTTGACAATTACATCTGGGATATTGAAAAAATGATATCATTTTTTATTATTGCAAATCTAATCGATTGCCAATTCATGAGAGATGAAAAACAAATAAATGAATTAGATCGATTTTGAGAAAAGTAAACATTATTCAAATAAATATCTTTATTTCTGTTTCTTAAGCATGTGATTGTTTTTATTATTATTGAGTTTCAAACCAGTTATTTTTTTCGGAAAATTTAAACTCGTGCTAGAATTCAAACGACTCAAGCAGCTTTGCAGTTCTCAACAAATAATTGGTTGGCATTTTTTTGGTTTATTCAAAATTTTCTTAATATTTATTGTTATAGTTTCGAACGCAAACTGAATAATGAGGATTTTAATTTTTAATTAAACAACCTTCTTTTTTTATTCTCCAATAATAAAACACTTAGAGATGATATTTTCTGAAGTTTTTCTTCTGATGTTTTATGCATTAAACAAAGTGTGGGAAATTCTTTGTTACTTGTTTCTTCCACTGAAAGGACTTCATCCTACAAAAATTTTATTCTTATTGACGATATGATATCATATCCTATTATATATATATATATATATATATATATATATATAAAGGTCGTTTATAATTATGCGCTGAAGCTATACGATCGCTGAATTTAAAATTTATAAGTTTACCAATTTTTGAAATATATGATTTAATCTTTTTTATTTTATATCATTTTTGTGGGGTTGGGGTGTCTGACGTATCCATATGCATAGCTCAGTCGATTACATTTGCTTTCTCGACGCTTTTGAGCTTACGGCTATATCTCGTTGAATCGCCTGCTCTTGTACGATCACCAAAGTTAAACAACGTTGAGTCTGATCAGTACCTCGATGGGTCACGGCTTGGGAAAACCAGGGGTTGTAATATTGGCTGTTCATGTAGTCAAAATGGATAACGGCTCAGATATCGAAATCAGAGAACCAAGTTTCTTATATTCACTTACAAGCAAATACACTTGGGACAAGTATGAATCCACCCATCCCCACCAGACATCGGTTAATTATTAAAACTTGCATCAGTGAAAATAATTATTATCTCCCCCAACAAAAAATTCTTACAATCTAAGAAATAAATAAAATTTATAAATGAATTAAATAAAAATAAATGAAGTTATAATAAATAATTTTTCTGACTTTAAATAACTTTTTTAAATATTCCACATTATGAAAACAATTCATTTGCCAAGAAAATCGAAATGTTGTGAACATGGACACAAATTTACCCTCGATGATTTAACAGTCACTACACAGCCTATATTTTCGCCTTAGTAATTTTTCCATGACATGTTCCTTCAGAACGTAGGCAAAAATGATTTTGCAAATATTTCTTTTTTCTTTATTATCATCTATGAAATGCAACGGTAGACATAGTGAAGTATTTTCCATTGCCATAATCTATAGATAGGTAGAGAAGTGTTTTTTTAAATGTTGTGTCCATTTTAGACGTACGTGATGATGTATCCATACAAACTTGGTGTTCTTTTTTATATAATATTCACTTGCTATGATTTCTTAGGAAAAATACAGGACGTGTTTCCTATTGTTTTCTCCCCAATTTTGGCTTGAGAATTATACTTCACCTGAATCGGTTGCTACTCAAGATTATAGAGCCCACTATACCTTGTTATATGATATGTAGTTAAAGGCGAAAAGATTATTGGTTTGAAAATGAAAGTAAGACCCACAGAACTTGAAATAGGATAATCGATTACACAATTCGCACCGATATCCGTTACGCTACCAGCACATTTTTTGATAATGACCGTGATTTTTTATCAATTATTAAACATCTCCTGGTAGTTCTTATATTATTAGACGTCATACTTTTCTCATTAGATTTTCTATTACCACGTTGTGGGATATTTAATAAAAGTGATATACACAAACAAAAAGAAATGAAACTAAATGAAATCGGCTAGATTATATACACAAATACATATTCTAAAAAATTGAAAGTTTTAAATTTAAAATTCTAGCGTTCCATTTCATTCATGAGCATGTATAATCATATCAATGTAAACATAATTAAAATGAAATCCTAAAAGCTGAAAACGGAACATATGAATTTCTTTCCCACTTTATCATAGATTTTCCAAAACTTGTTCTATGTCAAAATGTGTATATCGTTATTCACATTATTAAAAGTGAAATGATTGAACATATATTTTTTGTACTTACTATTTTTCAGGCGTGGGAGGATGATTTCTTGACCTGGGATCCTGCAGACTTCCATAATATAACAGCATTAAGAATTCCTTGTCATAAACTTTGGTTACCCGATATGGTATTATATAATAAGTGAGTAAATGTTGTTTTTTTTTTACTTATTGTACACCAGGCTTTGACCCTCTAGGCCAGATATTAAGAAACTAATTACAATGAATATGATTACCATACTCTATACAGACTATTTTTTGTATGCTGAGTTTTAAAAGCTACTTTTTTAAACCCGACTTATTTTTCCCATGTTCTCTCGTGTAAATATATTCCGTTCAACTCTATGAATGACCAAAACTGTTGTTCCGTTCAATTTTATAAAAAACCAACCAAATATTCTGTTCAATTCTATCTACTACGCGCTTTTTTTCTCTCTTTCGTTTCCACTTTCTCTTTTTCTATCCCTCTATCTATCTATCTATCTATCTATCTATATATATATATATATATATATATATATATATATATATATATATAATTAATGAAAATCTTGGTAACCCGTATTGATAATCCCCAGGAGGATGAAATCCGGAGAGCTCAATGTTCAGTCAATGCGAATAATTTAATTTAAAGAAAAAACAGACCACTTTTAGGTACCATTGTAGTAATTTATTTCACTAATTTATTATACTCAGGATCTTCAGACTTCACTTTCAAGTTCTAAAAAATTAAACTAAACATTACACTTTTGAAGGACAGTATTAGTCTTATATAAGGTGACATAGAGGGTGATGAGGGATAGTGTGAAAGACATGGTCGAAATAAGGGAGGGAAGAGAAATAAAATTAAATTCTAAAACTCTCTCTGGGGTAATAACAGTTATGTCTAGTAACAGTTATTGCTCTTTCCAGAATTAAATATCGCTTACCTTCTAACCTTTTGTTTGTCTACCGTCGAACGCCAGCATCTTGATTTTGCCATTATTCTTTCCGAGTTATATATAATATTCATTTTAATTTTCTAGGGTTGTTGAAAGTGCTTACGTGATGTGATTTCTGTCATTTCTTGCAGTTCGTTGTTTGTGTTTCTGTAACGCCAGTTCATGCAATTCGATGAAAGAGGATTCTCATTATGATCGACTGGCTCCTGCTGGAAGGGAGTTGTTGTCTAACAAACTTTAGACTGTTTACAAGTCGATATAACATATATATATAATTTTGTGCTAATGGAATATAATATTTGGGGGCAATAACCTTTAGATTTACTAATAAATAAATAAAAGTTTTATACGTATTTTTCTTTCATAATAATATCTGGGAAATTCAAATTTTTAAATTTAAAACGGAAAATAGGTATCCGTTATTCTATGGCGTCTCCTAATTTCTAAAACTGCTCAAGAAATTTTGTCCTTCTTCAACATCTAAAGAGGCGACCTTTGTTTATACAGCAATTATGCTGAGCAGACATTAGTTACAGTTTCTGAGAAAAAAAAGTCCATAATCTGACGTGATCAGTAGTTGATCAAGGCCAACGCACTTATGACATACCGATATCACAACCTATCAAAAGATTCAGAACCGGTTCGTCAGGGACTATTACTCTCACAAGTATCTACATATGATACGGTTTTAAAACGTATTCCAACGGCTTAGTAGGAAGAGATCCTTTCCCTCAGGCTTAAACCGTCCTGAGTATGACGATAAACTACCCCCGCGTCCTAGGTAGGTCGATAAACTGCGCCCAACAACAAGGCCTCTGATCGGGAAACCACCTCTTAATTGCTGGCGTTCCCAGGTCGGCAGAACATGTTAGGGTCCCAGCTATGGGCAAATATTTGACACCCAAATTTGTGTAAAAATAGGTTTTAATACCAGAAGTATTTTGTAGTAAAAGAAAATATTACGAGCAATAATTTTTGACGGAAAAATTATTATCAGCAATACAAAAAAAGTACCAGCAATACAAACAGCTATACATTCTTTTAAAATTATTAACAGCTATAGATTTTTTCCGGGAAACATATTCCCAGAAATAGATTTTTGAAGAAAAACACATTACCAGCAATAAAAATTTTGTCGGCATTAAATAACCCAGTGAGGTTGATATGCCGTAAAACAAACCAAACCAAACCAAACCAATTGTCGGCATTAATTAACCCATTAAGATTAATATGCTGTAAAACATCAAAAAAAGAAAAAACCCTCGGGCTAATAGAACCATGAATTCACCTCCTTGAAAAATCAACTATGGGAGGATTTGTAATCCGTTTTTATCTTCTAACAACTACCACACTCAGAACATTGCAAGCCTTTCGCAACTCTATTATTTCTATTTATATTTTCTAACCATAAGCCTACCATTTAAGACCAACCATGCCACGTACATTGAGACGAACAAGCCTCATTCTATTTGTATTCATTCATTAATGTGTAAGTTCCACTAGAAGAGTTTCCTATGAACTGTTGTTTTGTGGAACAGAATCCCACGAAGAATACTTTGCCAGTCACTACAATCTTAACCGCTTTCAAGTCTAGGGATATCAGTTATCTCTTTCACATATACGCATAATCATTGCCCCTTACTCTTACCACTGAGACAAACAACTTCAGTAACGCTCTACATTGATTATCTTTGTATAAGGTGAACATTATTTTAAAAAAAAGTGATTTTTTTATTGGCTTGTAAATAAATTAGGCCATGAATTTAAAAAGATAAAAAGTAACTACCCATTTTAAAATAGTTATAATTTATATATTAACAAGAAGCTTTACAAGATATTAATATCAGAGGAGCACGTTTAGCATAAGCTTTTATTTAAAATTGGATATGGGCACCAGATTTTGCTACCAACTTCTCGAGCCCTACCCATGAATCGCGTAAACTGATTTCACCAGGAACACTTCTAGTATGGAAGACATAACTTCTTGTATTCACCCTTCACTATATTCCAAAGTCTTGGTTTGCTATAGTAGACATGCTCCTCTAACCAACCCTAAATAAAAAAAAAAGTCACATGATGCATCCTGACTGGGCACTCATACTTAAAATAGAGACTTACTTTTCAATCATCCTGTATATTCCACATGTAAATATAGATATATCCTGAAATACTGAGTTATGTGCAAGCATTGATTTCCGTAGTAAATTCTGTCACGTCATATGAAACATTTTCTTTTGGGTCAACTGCTTATTATCAATTCGTTTACTTTTCTGCTGTCACATTTGCTGTCTGCAAGCGATCGGCGTCTTTCCACTTAAATCATTCACTGCATTAAAACTAGAAGACACGGAGATGACAGACATTTCATATTAATCAAAATGGATATTTTAGGTATAATATTTAAAAATATTCTCTATGACATTTACTTTTTCAATAGAAAGGATAAGAAAAAGCAAATGAAATATTTTAAACGCAGAAAAAAACCAGCAACGCTTTAATGGAACATTCAAAGTTATGAAATTTTATGTCATGAATTCAATTCCCAACTTCATTGCATTAAGAATATTTTACTGGGCGCAACTCAGTGCTTAAAGACACTTCCTGCTATTAATTTTATTTCCTTCTCTAAAACTTAAGTTCTATCCTTGCTGGAAACAGAAGTGGATTAAGATAACCTTAACTTTCTATCCATTCTAGCTCTTAGTAATTTTTGTCTTTTGATCGTCTATCCGATCCCTGTTCATCCCTGGTCATATTTTTATTTCCAT